ATACACAACTGTGAATGTTTGCACGTCTTCACATCCTAGTTTCGCAGAGAAGCTAGAGTTTCAGTTATCTGCCTTGATGTAACTGCTCTTTTTTCGTTATATTATTAGTAGGAAAATTTTTTGTTTCTCTTTCTGTATTTTCATTGTATTGGGCTTGCAACCATACAGACACCCAGAGATTTTCAGGATCCTCCCTCTTCTGGCAATCTCTGTATCCTGGGATTTCTTTGCCTCTTTCTCAAGCCTCTGTTGTAAAAGGTTTAGACTGATGTACAATTGCTTCACCCTCTCCTTTCCAGGAAGCCCTCCCTTGTAGCAAAGACTGAAAAAAAAGGAAAGAACAGCTATTCAGTGATGGTAACCCATCAGCTCAAATATCTCTGTCAGGATCTGCAATCTTCCCCTCCCTCGGTCCAAACCTCTGCGATCAAAGATGGGAGGTGTATTTTCTGAATTCTTTTGGTCATCACAATTAGTGCATTCAGCTGCACCTGATTGTTTTGTGTGTTTACACTGGTATCATCATTATGCATGTTGTTTTTCCTCATTCTTCCTCATTCTGGTTCTTCTTCATCCGAGTCATTTCATAGAAACGTACCTTTGCATTCTTCATATGTATTCCTTCTTAAGGCACAGTAACATTCCATTGCATTCATGTACCCCGATTGTTTAGACATCTGCCAATCAATACTCGCCTACTTTGTTTCCAGTTCTTTGCTACCACAAACACACTACAACCAATATTTGGAGTTCTATGGGACTTTTCTCCCCCTCACGTCTTGGGGTTTCATGCTCAGCACTGGGAACTTTAGGTCAAAAGATAGGAATATTTTAGTCATTTTTCTTAAAAATCACCTAAAAACCACATTCCTTTTCAGAATGTTTGGGCCAATTCACAGCTCTAACAACGATATATTAGATGCCTGTCTTCCCACAGCCCTTCCAACATTGATTTCCCATCTTTGCCAATATGCTGGATGTGAGGTGAAATCTCTGAGTTGTTTTGGTTTGTGTTTTTCTTATTATTAGTGACTCGGAGAAATCTCCTATGGTTGTCAGCAATTTGCAATTCTTTTGAGAACCCTTAGTTCATATTTTCTGATCACTTCTCTGCTGGGAAATTTTTGCATTTAGTCATACACTTGTGTTAATTCCCTATATATTTTGCATGTCAGACCCTTAGCAGATTCGAGACAAATATTTTCCCCAGTCTTTAGGTTCCCTTTTTATCCTAGCTGCTTTTTATTCACACAAAAGCTTTTTCATTTTATATAATCACAACTTTATCTTTTTATGTTTTATCTTTTGTGATCTACCCTATTCCTTGTTTATTTTAGATTTATTCCCCCAAGCCATGTGTGTGAAAGGTACCTGTTCTTTGCTAATTTTTTCCCCATACCTTTTATATTCAGGTTGCGTACCATTTTGAATTTACTGTGCTATGTAGAACAAGGTATTAGTCTAAATATAATTTCTCCCCAACTCCTTTCCAGTTTTCCCAACAGTTCTTGTTCTTACCCAGGTAGTTTATAGAAAATTGGGCTATTTAATATGATTGTTCCTGATTCTTATTTGGTCAGTTCAGTGATTAATTTTTTTGTTTTATAACCAATACCAGATCATTTTGATGATTACTGCTTTATAATATAACTTGAGGACCGGGAGTGCTATTTCCCCTTCATTCCTACTTTAAAAAAATATTTCCTTTAAGACTCTGGACCTTTTGTTCCTTTCAGTGAATTTTATTGTTTTATCTCTAGCTCTAAACTCCCTTGGTAGTTTTGATTCTTCTCTGATCCTAAATTTGTAAGTTAATTTAGGGAGTGTCATTTTTATTACATTGGTGAGGTTCCACCTCGAGCAATGACTATCTGTCCAATTACCTATAATTATTCGTTTCTTTGCAGAATATTCTGTAAGGGTATGTCTTAGAGTCATGAGTGTGCTTTGGTAGCTTGCATTTTAAAGTGATTCGGAAGGGCATTCCCTTCCCTGTTATTTCCTCCTCAATTTTGTTATTGCTGTATGGGGATGATGAGGATCATTTGTTGCCATAGAATTGCCAGCGTGAATACATGCCCCTAAAAGCAATTTTTGAATAGCTAGAAATGTGAGTGCCAGTAAGCGGCATAGAAAGCAAAGGGAGAGCTTCGGCATCTCTACACTCTCATGGCTAGTGCACTGACCACTGGCTCCCCATGTAAGTGGTTTTGCCACAGGATGGGAATCTAGGCCAGCTGGTCCTCACTTGTGGAGGGCTCCTGTTAAACAGGGCCTTACTTGCGCCAGACTTTCAATTGCTGAGAGTCCAGGGGTGGCTTAAATGTAGATCGTTTCTTTAAAGAGTGAGTGGGAATAAATCATGTTTCGAAATGTCAAACCCCTTCTGGGCTCTGTACCAGTTCTGCAGGGTGTGAGGAATTGCCAGGAAGCTTTTTTTTACCCTTTGCTACAGTGAAGGCAGATAGCAATGGGCGGGGTGCCAGATCCAGGGGAGAGAGACCATTTGTGGCTAGTGCCAAATGCACCGATGGGGGTCTCCCACTACTTCTCGGCATGTATTACTAAGGGATCTTAAAGGACAGAGCTAAACCATGAAGGGCTGACAATGCTGCTGCTCTGTTCCAGTCACAAGGTCACAGTGACCTCTAATTTGAGGTCAGGGCTTATGCTTTTGGAATTGAATTATTAATGCAGAAGTTTTTCTCTTGATTCTGATGCGGATTCCAGGTATGACTCTGGGCCAGAGGTTCCAGAGAAGGAAATACCATTTCCCTCCTAGTTATATTGTGGGTAATAACAGCCTAACAGTGTTTTTTGTGAGCGCTTGAAAGCGCGAGGTCCTCAACGGTAATGTGATGAGACTGGATGCTGGGGCCCCCTATATTAGTTGTGGAGGACAATGGAAGTGCAGGAAGAAAACTGCAACCTGGTGGGAATCAGTGCCATGTGGATAAATACAAAGGTGATATCTACTGCTCCTTCCCACTGCGTGGGTGTCCAGTGGGACGACACACAGATTATGATGGACGGGGAGGAGGGGGGAGAATAAGCATCTCATGTAGTGCTACTACATGCCAGGCATTCTGCTGTGCATTTTGTAATTATTATCTCATTTCATCCTCACAACAACCTTTTGAGGTAGATAATGTTATTATCCTCATTGCATAGTTGAGGAAACTGAGGCAAATAGGGTTAAATGACTTGCCTAGGGTCACCCAGCTAGTAAGTGTCTGAGGCTAGATTTGAACTCAGATCCTCCTGATTCCAGGCCCAGTACCCTGTCACTGCCTCAGTGATAGTGGGTTGATTGAGGGATGGGAGTGGGAATGAGGGGTGAAGCCATCTTAGGGCTTCTTTGCTTTTCCTCTGTGGGACTAACACGGGATGTGCTGTGGAGTCCAGGGGAGGAACTGAGGACAGCGCTGCCACTTGTGGGCATTTGCTCCAGGAAAACATAGAGGATTTCCTCTTGGCACAACTAGTAGAATCCATCAGTATTCAAGAGTGTTTCCATGCCCAACTCTACCAGTGACAGAGAACGACCAAAGTGCTGGAACCCAAGGAGCTCGCAGTCTAGTTGGGGGTGAACAAAACAAATACCTCTGACTTCAATGGACAGCCATGATGTGGGAAATTGGCATGAATCGTAAGAGTGGGGAGAGGAGAGTCCCTGTGCGATAAAGCTAGAGCTGTTCGCTGACCCGGGAAGCAGGAAAGTGCGGTGGACAGACTTGATCGGACCCGGGTTCAAATCTCCCCTCAGAGCTTCCTCACTGTCCACATCTGTAAAACAAAGGGGCGTGACTTCATGGTGGCTTAAGCCCATTCCTGCTCGAAGTCCATGATCCGGCCATTCCACAAGAGGCAGGGTGGGGGGCTCAGGGCAGCACCTGGGGGAGGGGGGGGACGACGCGGACCTCCGCCCTGAGCTCCTTCCCCTCCGCCCGAGCTTTTCTTTGTGCCGTCTGTCTGGGGGGAGGGGCTTCCCTCTCACTGGCCGGCAAGTGGACACTGGCTAGTCCCCAATAGGGGAAGACGTAAAGAAGGCTGTTGATGACTTAGAGGTTGGGTTAAATGGTCTTCGGACTCCATCCCAACTGAGGTTCCCCCTCCCTCCTTCCCTCCCTCCTTCCCTCTCTCCTTCCTTCCTCCCTCCCTCCCTTCTTTCCTCCCTTGTTTCCCTCCTTTTCTTCCTTCCTTCCCTCACTGCCCTCTCTCCCATCCCTTCTTCTATCACTTTCCATTCACTTACACTTCCCTAATAGAAGCCTTCCTTTACAACAGATAAGTAGAGCTGAGCAAATCAGAGCCACCTATCAGTCATGTCTAGAGATGTGTCTAATTTGGCACCTTTCACTGATGGATTACTGCTCTGCCGAGAGGCCGCAAGCATCCAGCCCAGAGGGCATTCTGTCTGGGAATTTGAAGACATCACTGACCCATCAGTAACACGTGCTTCTGAAGTGGCTGGTCAGTATGGTCACAAGCAGGTGCCGAACAATGCACGTGCCTTCCTCCCTTCCAGGCTGCTGCCCTCCATAGCCACGGTTAGCCCTTCTGTCCACAGCTAACACAGGGATGACGCTGGCACTTGGGCCTCCCCAATTCTGTGCTAAGGGCCTCTGCAGGGGCCTCCTTGGCCTAATGTGGCCACCTCACGTGCCCCGTGACATCCCTGCTCAGCCAGCAGGGCAGTGGGAGTTTGGAAAGTAAAGTCTATATAGTCCAAATGAGGCTCTTTAATGATTACTGGCCATGAATCCCTCTTTTACTGGACTGCAGTGAATAGTCCTTCTTTTTCCTGTGGAGTGTAACCTCTTTGAGGGCAGGGTACATTTTTTTGTTGCTGTTATTTCTGTCATCTGGAGCACTGAGCATAGTAGCACTTGGTATGTAGTAGCTGCTAAAGAAATACTTGTTAACTTGAATAAGTTGAATAGAATTTCTATATCATAGAAACAACATGTTCAAATATTGTATTTTTTTTTTTTTTTTAGCAACCTCTCCTGTCTCAAAACCTCACCCACCAGTGGTGGGTAAAGTGACTCATCACAGCATTGAATTATACTGGGATCTGGACAAGAAAATCCAAAGAAAAGGACCTCAGGAACAGTGGTTAAGGTTTTCAATTGAAGAGGAAGACCCCAAAATGCACACTTATGGTATCATTTATACGTAGGTGCAATGTTGAACAGTTTCAAGTTTTGTATAGGCTTCCACACTAGAGTGGTCTGTAGTCTCCATGAAGGTCAAACGTTCAAAGAAATCACAGGGACGCTGAATTAAGGTGCTTTTGACCTGTCATTTTTAGAAGAAAGTGTTGCAAGTAGTTTCCAAATTTATTGAGAGGCAGTGGGGACAGAGTTCTCTTTGGAGTCTCTTTGGATTCAAATCCTGCTCTTCTCTTAGACTGGTTGGGTGACCCTGGGCAAGTTACCTAACGTCTCAGTCATCCTGGCAAATTATTGTTAGGACAAAGGTTCTTTCCCTGGGCTCTCTGGAACCCCTGAAGAGGCTGAGGTGTGATCTCAGGGAGTCTGAGACCCTGACTTTCTTTGCCCACTTCTGTATGCTTTGCATTAGAGAACGTGATTCTGGGAAGGGGGTCTGTTTATGGGTTCACCAACCCAGCTGCTCATGGGGTCTAGGCCATACAAATGGTTCAGAACCTTTGTCTAAAATTGGCAGAGAAGGTGCTGAAGGGAGAAGGAACTCCCTTCTCTGATGGAACCCCAGATCTGGGTCAGAATAAAGTCCTTAGGTTACTCAGGGGTGGGGAACCTGCGGCCTCGAGGCCGCGTGTGGCCCCCTAGGTCCTCAAGGGTGGCCCTTTGGCCTGGATTTGACTGGATTCAGTCAAAGGGCCGGACTTGAGGACCTAGAGGGCCACACGTGGCCTCGAGGCTGCAGGTTCCCCACCATAATTAATAAATGTTTAGACAAAATCCTAGGTTGGTCTGAGAGTTGGGCCCAGGCTCTGCTCTCATGTGCCTCTGAATTCTCCCACAGATTTTGTCACGTAGCTCGATCACCTGACTTAGCCTAAACTGTCATTTATTCTTTTAGAAAACACTTGAGCCCCTCACAGCTGCTCAGAACCAGAGAAGGGAGTGTCAGCTGAAGGGACTTGGGATCAGAATCCAGCCTGACAGCCAGTGCTGCTGAATTTTCACAATTCTTTTGGATCCGTTTTTGGCCAAATTTCTGTATCCTAGGAAAAATATAGACAGCATGAAGATGTGCCGCAGTCCTGTGCACCCCACAGAAGTTTGGCTGATACTTTTTAGTCAGGGCCTAGAAGGTAGATGGGAACCTTCTGACAACCCTAGTCACTGTAGGGCAGACTGCTTTACAAGGTAAGGCATCCCGAGCCATAATTTTTTTATTTTTTTATGTTTTACCAGACTTAACATTTCTTTGGTATAGGGAATTCCTATTAAGGAAACTCACAGATTGGTGGGGTGGGGGAGGGGAGCTGCATAGTGAATCAGGCTCAAAGGCAGGCCTTTCTGACTTAGGCCTCCTGCATAGCTCCTTAAGCACCCAGAAAGACTCCATTAGAAGAGGGGCTCACCTATCAGGCAGCTCCATCTGTGACACGGACCCTGTGATGAGCTTTGCCAAGTGCTACCTACCTGAACACAGACCTGTGGGAGAATTATCAAGGGTTAGATGTGAAAGCAGAAGCATCGTTCAGGGTGGGTCATCCCCTGAGAAGTAGCAAAAAAGCCTCATGATGAGAAGAGAAGTTGAATTGACTGTGTCACGGGATGGAATTGGGCTAGGGAAGGGGGACGGCTCCCCCTTCCTCTCCTTTTCCTCGTGTCCCAGGCTCTGGCTGGGGGGAGCAGGGTTTGTGACATCAGCATCTTCCATCTGCTCCTCTCTCATCCCCTCCCACGTCCACTGTGTGCCCAGGGCTGAACAACAGCATCTGCTGATTGGGCAGGCCTCATCTTTCCCCCTAGACCTGGGGAGCTGGGAGAGAGGAGCCAAAAATGCCTTGAGGCGGCCCCCTCACCCACGTCTTTCCCTGGCCGGGCAGCATGGTGTCCTGGGCTGGACTGCCTGGTCAGTTCCTTGGAAAATGAGACAGCGAAGGCCGCTAGGTGGCAGGATGGGACTGTATTAATCTTGACTTCTGGCTCTGTTAAACTTGCCTTTTCCTTGGGCGTCTCTACCTTAGAGGGGCCAGTGATGCCGAAAGGACTATTAGGAAAGACTGGCTACTCAGAGATCTTGGGCTGAGGCGACTGGGGGCGTTGGAATCTCAGTAGATCAAACTGTTCTCCCCCTGACTCACCTACCTCTGTTCTTGAGTCACTCACACGTGACCAGCTTCTGCTCTTTTGCCTCGGTTGCCCCTGCCCCTGCCACCAGACCCATGCATCCAATCGGTTACCCTGTCCTGTGGGTGCCTCCTTGCTCTGGGGTCTTTCACCATCCTCCCTTCCTTGGCCTCCCACTCCCTGTGCCCCAACTGGGGCCTTAGCACTTCATGCCTTGCTTGTTATGGTAATATCCTAACTGTTCTCGTGGCACCTCTCCACTCCAACCCATCATGCTGGCAAACACTCTTTGATCTTATCCCTTCTCTGCGGGTATTAAAGGCCTTTCACAGTATGGTCCAAACCAGCATTTCCACCCTTATTTCAAGCTACATGAACCCTTTGCTCTTTCTTTGAAAATGCCATGCCCTACAACTACAAGATCGCCCCCAAAACGGCCCTCAGGAATCCAGATCCTCCTGATCTCTCAGGGCTGACCAAAGCCCACCTCTGCTTCCTGACCCTCTGCCAATGCAGTTTCCCCCTTTGGACTCCCAGCCCTTCCTGCTCAGTTGGCATTTACCACCTATGGTCTTGGAGGGTCTTTCCCCGCATATACGCCCCATCTCCCCACTAAGCTGGAGGTCTCAGAGTCAGAGGACAATGTCTTGTCCCCTTATGTCCCCTCAGTTCTCAGAGCAGAAGACATACAAGGATTTGAGAACATGCTGGATTCCTCCATGGAGGCTGCCCTGAACAGACTTTGTTAATGGTTTCCTCCATGATTGTGGCTTCCTGTTCCCTCTGTGATAAATGAGAGCCCTAAGTTCCATGCTAGTTTTTTGCTAGTTTGTTTGACAAATACCTCCAGCTTATCTTCTTTGCAGCTGCATGAAGTAAAGCACCAGGACCCCAAAGAGCAGCTCTTTCTGGGTGCCCTCTTCATCTCTTGCTAAGCTGGTGAGCACCAATGCTACCTCCCGGTATGTGGGGGCCAGCATGTGGAGACCACTAGCAAGGACTGAGTTGCTGATGTCCGATTTGTTCCACTGTGCCCTTCTGAACCCAGGCACTGTGGATCATACGGAAGGCGTTTCTTGTTTGTAATTGGCTCCAAAATTTTTCTCAGGCCTCAGAGGTCTTGTACTGTACTCTAGCGAGGCTTGGACACTGTTGTCTCTATGTCTGATGGATTTTTATAGATTGCCAAGGTGGATTCTGTAGGGTCTCCAGATTTCCTATTGTCTCTTCAAAGATCTATAAACCACCGCAGGTAATCTAGAAACTTTAGGAGCAATGCCCATCCAGCCAATCAGTAAGTCAGTAAACACGTGGCAGCTGGTGGCACAATGGCTAGAGCTGGGCCCGGAGTCAGGAAGATCTGAGTTCAATTTCACCCTCAGACATTCACTAGCTGTGTGACCCTGGGTAAGTCACTTGACTTCTCTTTGCCGTAGTTTCCTTAACTATAGACGGGGATGGTAGTAATAGCAGCTGCCTTTCTGGGTCGTTGTGGAATCAAATGCCATAATATTTGTAAATAAGCTATGTGCCAGGCACACAGGCGGTGCTTGCTAAATGCTTATCCCTTTTCCTTCCCTAAGTGCTGGGGATAGGAGGAAAGGCAATGTCTCTTCCATATAGGTGTTCTCCCCAATCGGTGGGGGACACAACATGCAAAAAGATCCGTACAAAACAGGCTCTGTCCAGAAAAGGAAATGAGGACCAGAGGGAAAGCTCCAGAACTAAGGGGCTGGGAAGGGTTTCCTGCAGAGGAGAGTTCAGCTGGGACTGATGGAGGCCAGAGCGGCCAGAAGGTGGAGGTGAGGAAGGAGGTGAGGGCGGCTGCTGAAGGTGCTGGGAGGCAGGGGAGGGAGGGGCCTCTCGGGCACAGACACTGTCAGTGTTTGGAGAGGGACACTTTTTGAACTCTGTCCATTTGGTATTCTGGTTTGTGTCGAGGGTCTAGAATCAGCCAGTCTTCATTCTCTTGATTCTTTGGTTCAAAATTTTCCCTTAATACCCATTCTGATCACCAAGTTCCTAAGCCATTGGTACTGCTTCATTTTGTTTACTTTTTTTTCTTTTGGATAGGCTCAGGTTGAGGTCCACCACTCCCCCTATTTTACAGATGGGAAAACTGAGGTCCAAAGAGGTTGCACCTTGGAGTCCTTGAAGCATGGATTGTGCGGTTTCTCTTGAGGGTCTTTTAGGGAAGAGCTTGCAGTGGCGTGTCCAGGAAAGGGATGGTTCCGAGGGCAAAGGAATGAGGCCTGACGGTTCCTTACTGAGACTGACGACAGGAAAGAAGAGGTTTCTGGACATAGCGCAGGCGAGCATTGAGTTAGGGCGAGGAATGGAAAAGGAGCGAGTCGGGGCTGAGAAGGCTGGGAGGCCTGGAGGGTCACGGCTTCGTAGAGCCCTAAGGCCATGAGCATCGGTGCAGAGTTGGGACAGGCCCCGGGGATCGGGGAGCCCAGGACGCTGGGGAGAGAACCCCGCTTCGGCTCACCTCGTTTCCCCCCAACCCTCCTGATTCTCTCAGGACGCGAGATCAGGTTCGGCTCCAGTAGGCTCCAAGCTGCCCTTCGGCGCACGTCCCACCCGAGTTCTGTCGTGCGGATGCGTCCTTTCTTCCCCGTGGGCTGCAGGCCCTTGGCAGGTGCCTCTGTCATGCCCGGCGGACTCTGGCGCTTCACAGCCCAACGGGTGATTGGTTGTGATTTTCAGTTAGATGCTTATCAGCAGATATTATTAAGTGCCTACTACGTGCCTGGCTGGGTTCTCGGTGCTGGGGCTATCGAGACAGCAACGAAGCAGTCTCTGCCTCAGGAACATAATTACACTCCATGGAGAGGAAACTCTTGTTCTTCAGTCTTTTTCAGTCGTGTCCCACTCTTCCTGACCCCTGTTGAGTTTTCTTGGCAGAGATACTGGAGGGGTTTACCATTTCCTCCTCCAGTTCACAGATGAGGAAACTGAGGCAAACAGGGTGAAGTGACTTACCCAGGGTCACACAGCTAGGAAGTGTCTGAGGCCAGATTTGAACTCAAGAAGGTGAGTCTTTCTTACTGCAGAACTGACACGCGATGAAGCGCTTCCTGCCCTCAAGTAGCATACATTCTATGGAGAGGAAACTCTATAATTGCTGTCATTCAGTCATGTCTGATTCTTTATGACCCCGTGTGGGGTTTCCCTGGCACAGATACTGGAGTGGCTGATCAGTGGATTAGGCAGACAGCGGTAAGTGACTTGCCCAGGGTCACACATCTAGTGAATGTCTGAGGCTGGATCTGAACTCAGGTTTTCATGATGCCAGGCCCAGTGCTCTGACCATTGAGCCACCAGCTGCCTCTAACTCTATATAAAGAGGTCAGTAAATATAATCTGAAGGATATTAATGGTAAAAAGATGGACCCTTTTTGCAGAGAGGAGCTTGAGATTCCTAAAAGCTCACACCTGGGCCTCAAACCCTGTCCTGCTCAGTCTCTTTGCCTTCCTTCAGGCTGTTTTCCATCAGTGGTGTTTATTCGACAGACATGCACTGAGGATGAACCTGTGGCCAGCTCCCCACTCACCACATAACATAGCCTGGGCAGCAGCAGGCTTTATCCACTTGGTTTGTCCTGTGTGCCTGGTCTGAGACAACTGTGGATCGCAATGAGGAGGCTTTGCTGGTCCTGGCCCTGGCGGCCTTCAGCAGTGTCTTACCTGTCAATGGGCATGCCGAGGAAGCCTCCCTATCTCTCAAGGGTCCTCCTCCCATGTCCATCCTCCAGGACAAAGGCAAGCCTCTGCTGAGCGTGGGCTTAATAATCTCTCATGCTTTTAATGGTCAGCAGGTTGTCAAGCAAAGTGATCTCTGGCATTACGTCTCCCATGGAATCTCATGGGATTCCAATATGGGTGCTAGAGATGCCTTGCTGGAAGAGAGGCCTTGAGGGGGCACTGGCTGTGTTGAAGCACTGGCCATCTGGGAGGCACATAATGCCTCTCAACCACAACTACCGTCATCTGTGTGACTATAACGATGGAATCTGCTGTAGGGCATGATTTGTGGAAGCCTGCCCATTTTATACAGAGCTGGCCATGAAGTCAGGAAGACCTGAGTTCGTGTTTGGCCTCAGACATTTGCTAGATGTGTGACCGTGCTAGATCTGTCTGCCTCAGTTTTCTCATCTGTAAAATGGAGGTAATGATGGCACCTACCTCCCAGGCTTGTCATGAGAATCAAATGAGATAACACAGTGAAGTGCTTTGCATACCTTAAAGCTCTATATAATCAAAGAGGTCCTTGATATGTGTTGGTTATTTTCATAAAGAATGCTTAGAGATGGACCCTGTATACAGTAGGTACTCAATATATGATCTTCTTTCCAGTTGTCCGAATGTGAACCCCATTTTATCCTTAGAAAACAAAACCAATCATAGACCTCTAGAATGGGAGGGATCCTTACTTAGAGATGAAATAGCCCAAAATGTAGTCATTTTACAGATGAAGAAGCTATAGTCCACAGAGGGCCACTGTGGGTTAATATTTGTACTTTGTGGGAAAAAAAAAATCCGAGGTATGATACAAATGTGCAAGATTGAAAATGATCAGGTCCTGCTCTTAATAATAACTTCTCAGCAAATGTAATTAGATTAAAAACGTTATTCAACGTGTTTTATTTCTTCTCTCTAGGGGGTATTCAACGAAGCATGTTGTAGAAGGTCTGGAGCCTAGAACATTGTATAAATTTCGATTAAAGGTCACCAACCCCTCTGGAGAATGTCACTATAGCCCAGTTGTCTCAGTGTCCACAACCAGTGAGTATGGACTTTTTCTACCCTCTCCAGCTCTGTAAGATGAATGGGGGGGGGAAGCTGGCTCCCATGTATTTGGAAAATGGGCCATCATCCTGCTTCCTCGCCAGGCCTTGAGATGGAAGGAGGAAGGGCAGATTCTTCTTCTCCAGTTAGAGAGTGTCTGTCTATGGTCCGGGGGAGGCGATGGGCTTCCCTGCTTAGCAGGAGGATGCGGCATCTTGGAGGGCATGGACAGTGTCTGGGGGATGGGAGCAGACATTGATACTGCAGGCCTTGCCTCTGCCAGACAAGGCCGGACAAGTCCGGCCTTTCTCGCTGCCCGCTCCTTTCCCGATGAATTTCTGGGCTTGGTCCTCGCTTTCTGTCATGTTGCTGGGAATTTCTGCCAGCCAACAGGCCTGCTTGTTCTTCCATCAGAATCAAAGCAGGATTAAGTGAATGCCCTGGAGGGAAGGGTTGGGAGGAGGGGTTCAGGCTAATGGCAGCACACAAGAAATGGATCTGAATGGGAAATACTGAACTGTGCAGCAGCTGTGTCCTGAAGGACATGCGCGTCTCCTATAACCCGGCATTTATAAAACGTTTTATAAAATGCTGTGTAAACTCTCCAGGACACTTATTGATAGAGCTGCTGATCTGTGTTGGTGGAGGGGGGTCGCCACCATGGACGACTTCAGTGGAATCCCAGGTCTGGACAAATATACACAAAAGTATAGATATGACCTCGTGGGACCTTCCCCACAGTCGTCCAAGAGGGAAGGGGAGGGACCGCAGGGGTCCTGTTGAGGAAGCTGAGTTGCAGACTGGTGATGTGACTAGTCCTTGGTCAGATATAGCCAGTACATGTCAGAGGCAAGGCTAGATGCCTGGACCCCACACTCTGATGCCTGGGCTCTCTCCCCCTGATCCCCCTTCATTCCCTCCCCACAACTCCACAGGTGTTGGGTGATGTTTTGAAAATGATTGTAGCAAAAATCAAAGCTTCCAGGAGTGTGGCAAGGACAAGCTTGACACACAGACGTGACCTTTCAGAAGCGAAACCGAAACCCCAAATCTCCTCTTTAATGGCACAGAGGCAGTGGGATGTTCTGGCTTTTCTTTTCTTTCTTTCTTTTTTTTTTTTTTAAGCCAATTGAAGTTAAGTGACTTGCCTAGGGTCACACAGCTAGTAAGTATCAAGTGTTTGGTCTGAGGCCAGATTTGAACTCAGGTCCTCCTGACTTCAGGGCCGGTGCTCTATCCACCGCGCCATCTAGCTGCCCCCTGTTCTGGCTTTTCTGATGGCGTGGACCTCTGGGCACTTGCTATAGTGGCATCTGCAGTGTGTGTGTGTGTGTGTGTGTGTGTGTGTGTGTGTTTGTGTGTATTTAGAATAATAGTTTAGTTTTCCCCTAATTACATTTAAAAAACATTTTTAACATTCATTTAAAAAATTTGAGTTTTTTTTTTTTTTTTAAGGCAGTTGGGGTTAAGTGACTTGCCCAGGGTCACATAACTAGTAAATATTAAGTGTTTGGTCTGAGGCCGGTTTTGAACTCAGGTACTCCTGACTTCAGGGCCGGTGCTCTATCCACTGCACCACCTAGCTGCCCCAAAAATTTGAATTTCAAATTCTCTCCCTCTCTCCCCTCTCTCATCATTGAGAAGGTAAGCAATTTGATACAGGTTTGTACTGTGTAGTCAAACAAAACATATTTACACAGTTATGTTGTAAAAGAAAGTCCCCCCCCAAAATAAAACCCACAACAAAATACGGAAAGTTAAAAATATCTTTCTGCAAAACATCAATCTGCCTTCAGACTCCATAGTTCTTTCTTTGGAGACGGACAACATTTTTTAACACAAGTCCTCTGGAATTGTCTTGGATCTTTGTGTTGCTGAGAATCACTGAGTCATTCACAGTTGATCATCTAGCTCTTTGCCACCACTAAAAGAGCTGCTATAAATATTTTTGTGCAAATAGGTCCTTTTCCCCTTTCTTTTTGATCTCTTTGGGATATAAACCTAGTAGCAGTATTGCTGGGTCAAAGATAGCGTGCACAGTTTTATGCCCTTTGGACATAGTTCCAAATTGCTCTCCAGAATGGTTGGATCAGTTCACAACTCCACCAACTGTGTATCAGTGTTTCAATTTTCCCACATTCCCTCCAACATTTATCATTTTTTTTTCTGTCATATTAGCCAATCTGATAGGTATGAGGTGGTATCTCAGAGTTGTTTAAATTTGCATTTCTCTAATAAATAGTGATTTGGAGTATTTTTGATGTAGCTATAGATAGCTTTGATTTCTTCTTCTGAAAACTACCAGTTTATATCCTTTGACCATTTATCTGCTGGGGAATGATTTGTATTCTTATAAATTGCTCAGTTCTCTATATATTTGAGAAATGAGGCCTTTATCAGAGATACTTGCTGTGAAAATATTTTTCCCAGCTTTCTGCTTTCCTTCTAATCTTTGTTGCTTTGGTTTTGTTTGTACAAAACCTTTTTAATTTAATATGATCAAAATTATCCATTTTATACCTCATAATGCTTTCTGTCTCTTGTTTGGTCATAAAGTCTTCCCTTCTCCATAGATCTAACAGGTAAACTATTCGAGGCTCCCCTAATTTGCTTATGGTATCATCCTTTATGTCTAAATCATGTATTCATTTTGACCTTATCTTGGTATACAGCGTAAAAGGTTGGCTTATGCCTAGTTTCTGCCATACTGTTTTCTGGTTTTCCCATTTTTCAAGTAGTGAGTTCTTGACCCAAAAGCTTGGGTTTTTGGGTTTATCAAACACTAAATTACTGTAGTTATTTATTGCTGTGTATTGTGTACTTAATCTATTCCACTGATCCATCACTCTGTTTCTTAGCCAGTACCAGACAGTTTTGATGATTACCACTTTGTAACAGAGATCTGGTATTACTAGGCGTCACCTTTCTGCACATTTTTTTTCATTGATTCTCTTGATATCCTTGATTTTTTGTACTTCCAGATGAATTTTGTTATTATTTTTTCTAGGCCTATTAAATAATTTTTTGTAGTTTGATAGGTGTGGTACTGAATAAGTAAATTAATTTAGGTAGAATTGTCATTTTTATTATATTAGCTCCACTCACCCATGAGCAATTGATATTTTTCCAATTGTTTAGAACTGACTTTATTCATGTAAAAAGTGCTTTATTATCATGATCATGTGGTTCCTGGGTTTGTCTTGGCAGGTAGACTCCCAAGTATTTTATATTGTCTACAGTTATTTTAAATGGAATTTCTCTGTCTGTCTCTTGCTGCTGGACTTTGTTAGTAATATATAGAAATGCTGATGATTTGTGTGGGTTTATTTTATATCATGAAGCTTTGCTAAAGTTGTTAATAATTTTTTAGTTGATTTTCTAGGATTCTCTAAGTATATCATCATATCATCTGCAAAGATAGTTTTATTTCCCCATTGCCTATTCTAATTCCTTCAATTTCTTTTTCTTCTCATTGCTATAATTAGCATTTCTAGTACAATATTGAAGAAGAGTGGTGATAATGGACATCTTTACTTCACCTCTCATCTTGTTGGGAAGGCTTCTAGCTTGTCTCTATTACAAATAACACCTCCTGATGGTTTTAGGTAGATACTACTTATCATTTTAAGGAAAGTTCCATTTATTCCTATCCTCTCTAGTGTTTTAAATAGGGATGGGTGTTACATTTTGTCAAAAACCTTTCTGCATCTACTGAGATAATCATATGATTTCTGTTTTTTTTTATCGATGTGGTCAATTATGTTAATAGTTTTCCTGATACTGAACTAGCTTTGCTCATCATAGTGGATGATCCTTGTGATAAATTGCTATGATCTCCTTGCGAGTATTTTATTAAAAATGTTTGAATCCATATTCATTAGGGAAATTGGTCTATAGTTTTTTTTTCTGTATTTTCGCTCTTCCGAGTATAGGTATCAACACCATATTTGTGTCATAAAAGGAGTTTGGTAGGACTCCTTCCTGGCCTATTTTTTCCAAATACTTTATATCATATTGGGATTAATTGTTCTTTAAATGTTTGGTAGAATTCTCTTGTGAACTCATCTGGCCTTGGAGATTTTTTCTTAGGGAATTCATCGATGGCTTGTTCAATTTCTTTTACTCTGTCCTTCCTCACAAGTGTCTTACTTCTGACCATCACTTCCCCCAATCTGCCCTCCCTTCTATCAGGATCCCTGCCCCCACATTCTCTTCTCCCTCTCCCCTCCTACTTCCCTATTGATTTCTATACCCAACTGAGTGTGTATGTTATTCCCTCTGAGTCAGTTCCAATGAGAATAAGGTTTAAACATTGCCCACCACTCCCCCTCCCCTATTTTCTCATTCACTCTAACAGATCTCTCACGTCTTTTCATGTGACATAATTTACCCCATTCTCTCACTGCCTTCCCTCTTCTCCCAGTGCAGTCCTCTTTGTTTTGGATATCATCCCATCAACTCAAACCTGAGTTCTCTTGGCTGTAATTCTAGCTCCTGTGCCTTCTAGAATATCACATACCAAACCCTCTGATCTTTTAATGGGTTACCCTGAATCTAAATCCTGTGTAATCCTGACTGTGACTCCATGATATTTGAATTGTTTCTTTCAGGCTACTTGCAGTATTCTCTCCTTGGCCTGGGAGCTCTGGAATTTGGCTATAATATTCCTGGGAGTTTTTATTTTGGGATCTCTTTCAGCTGATGATTGGTGGATTCTTTCAGTTTCTAGTTTACCCTCTGGTTCTAGGACACCAGGGCAGTTTTCCTTGATAATTTCTTGAAAGATAATGTCCAGGCTCTTTTTTTGATCATGACTTTCAGATAATCCAAAAATTCTTAAAGTATCTCCCCTGGATCTAATCTCCAGGTCAGTTGTTTTTCCAATGAGATGTTTCATATTTTCTTCTATTTTTTCATTCTTTTGATTTTGTTTGACTGATTCTCGATGTCTCATGGAGTCATTTGTTTCCACTTGCCCAATTCTAATTTTTAAGGAA